TGACATTATACAAGGTGATTATAACTATAGAAAATCAATCATAAGGTATAATAATATGAAATATTATCGATTCATATGTATAGATGACTTTGAAAAACGACTCAAAATGTTTCTGAAATATTTATATTTGAATACTTTTATAAAATCATTTTACCATTTTTTTAAATGTTTTCCATATTACTTGCACAACTTTCTCTTTCAGTTTCAGGCAAAGTTGTTGGGGATAATTCGTACATGATTTATGATAAGGACGGAAGGGAGAATTATGAAATAATTAAAGAACCTTATACAAAAGTCAGAATAGATGGTGTTACAAAAAAACATTAAAGAAGCCACTGATTTAGGCTACTCCGTTGAAATTTATAATGATGAAAATTCAGATTATGTTATTATTTCACAGACAATTACCAACAAAGGCTCAACGGAAAAGAAAATTGACCTTTGCACAGCATTGAATTTAAAAGATTCTATAGATAATGTTGAAGCATCATCCCTTACAAACTTTGGTTATTATCTTTGGTGGGATCAAACAAATGATCTGACACTAGTTCTGCAAAATCATCCTTGGGTTACAGATATCAGTGCCCAAGACTTTGGAATAGAACCTGAGCCAAGATTCTTCACGAACAATGAGAAAATTTTAGAATACGACTCTGGATTTCCTGAAATTCAATGGATCTCATTCTCATGGCTCAACAAGTATATCCAACCAGGAAAGTCTATCACACTTTCTTACATGTTTTATGAAGAGACATATCAACCGCCATTACTTAAACTTGATAAATCTCTGATTTCAGAAGAAACAGATTCCACTGAAGTAATTCAAGTAAAGGGAAGTTTTTATTTCTTAGTTGAACCATACACGGTAGAAGCAGGTTGGGAAATTCATGATTCAAAAGATAAGATAATCAAATATGGCAGCCTTGGCAAATTTACAGTTTCAGAAAAACAAACAAGTATGGATTTTGATGTGTCAATCACACCACCAACAGAACTTGGAAAGTACACATTATATGTTTACACATATACTAATGGTCTTGGCTCATTGCTTTATGAAGAATTCACAATTACAGTTGTTCCACCAAATTATAGACCAAAGTTATACATTGTTCCATCTGAATACCTATATTACATTCCAGATTCTGAAGTTTCTTTCTTGGCTTCAGTCTACGATCAAGATTCAGGTGATAAACCACTCACAGCAAAGGTTTTCTTCAACAATGCAGAAGTTGCAACACAAGAAGTTGCAAACAGCAAAGATCTTAAGACATTCAAATTCAAAGTTCCAAAAGACACAGCAGCAGGTGAATATGAAGTCAAAGTCACAGCTACAGATGGCAAGAAGATTGGAACAAAGAAGTTCACAATCACAATCAAGAATAACACAGTTCTCACAATCTATTTCGAACCAAAACTTAATGCCACATACAACAAAGGCGACAAGGTCAACTTCACAGCTGTCATCAATGATCCAGATACAAACTTCGATAACAAGTTCACTGTTTCTCTGTTCTACAACGATAAAGTCAAGAAGACGATCACATCAACTAACGATGCAGGATTAGTCAGAGTTCCACTTGATTTCACCATCCCAACAACAGAAACAAACACAACAGCCGAAATCAAGATCGTAGTCACAACACCACAACCGAATCCTCTGAAAAATTAACAAATATCAACATCTATCAAGATGTTATCGCAAGTGATTCTGCAACAGGAAAGATTGCTACAAAGGAAGCTAAAAAGAAGACCGCCCTTGTTGCAGTTCTCTGTGTCTTAGCTGTCATTGCTGTTGTTGTTGCGGTAGTCGTTATTATTCTTTGGCTGAGAAAATAAAAAAATTCGGAGAATAAATTAAATTTTATGCTTTAAACACACTTTTTTAAAATTACTTATAAATTATCTTTCAACAAGTTGAAATTACTCAATCTAGGATTGTTTTTCATGTGAAATTCTTGTTGTGCAACTAAAAAGTAATTTCAACTTGTTGAAAGATAATTTATAAGTAATTTTTAAAAGTGTGTTTAAAAGCATAAAATTTAAATTTATTCTCCGAATTTTTTTTTATTTTCTCAGCCAAAAGAATAATAACGACTGACCGCAACACAACAAGCAATGACAGCTAAGACACAGAGAACTGCAACAAGGGCGGTCTTCTTTTTAGGCTTCCTTTGTAGAAATCTTCTGTTGCCAGAATCATTGCGATATACATCTTGATAGATGTGATTATTTGTTAATTTTTCGAGGATTTGGTTGGTGTCGTGACTACGAATCTTGATTTCGGCTGTTGTGTTTGTTCTGTTGTTGGGATTGTGAAATCAAGTGGAACTCTGACTAATCCTGAATAAGTTAGTTGATGTGATGTCTTCTTGACTTTTATCGTTGAGAACAGAAGAAACAGTGAACCTTGTTATCGAAGTTTGTATCGATCATTGAATGACAGCTGTGAAGTTGAACCTTGTCGCCTTGTGTATGTGGCATTAAAGTGTTGGTTCGAAATAGATTTGTGGGAACTGTGTTATCCTTGATTGTGATTGTGAACTCTTGTTCCAATCTTCTTGCCATCTGTAGCTGTGACTTTGACTTCAATATTCACAACTGCTGCTGTGTCTTTGGAACTTTGATTTTGAATGTCCTTAAGATCTTTGCTGTTTGCAAATTCTTGTGTTGCAACTTCTCATTGTTGAAGAAAACCTTGCTGTGAGTGGTTTATCACCTGAATCTTTAGATCGTAAAGACTGAAGCCAAAAAAGAAATCTTCAGAACTGGATGTAATATAAGGTAATTCAGATGAAATGTATAATTTGGTCTATAATTATGGTGGAACAAACTTTGAATTGTGAATTCTTTCATAAAGCAAACATGAGCCAAGACATTAGTATAATGTGTAACATATAATGTGTACTTTCCAAGTTCTGTTGTGGTCGTGATTGACACAGTCAAAATCCATACTTGTTTGTTTTCTGAAACTGTAAATTTTGCCAAGGCTGCCATATTTGTTATACTTAATCTTTTGAATTCATGAATTTCCCAACGCTTCTAACCGTGTATGGTTCAACTAAGAAATAAAAAAACTTCCCTTTATACTTGAATTACTTCAGTGGATCTGTTTCTTACTGAAATACAGAGATTTATCAAGTTTAAGTAATGGCGGTTGATATGTCTTTCATAAAACATTAAGAAAGTGTGATAGACTTTCCTGGTTGGATAACTATTTGTTGAGCCATGAGAATGAGATCCAGTGAATTTTCAGGAAATACCAGAGTCGTATTATAAAATTTTCTCATTGTTCGTGAAGAATCTTGGCTCAGGTTCTATTCCAAAGTTCTTGGGCACTGATATCTGTATACCAAGGATGATTTCTGCAGAACTAGTGTCAGATCATTTGGTTTGATCTCCACCAAAGATAATAACCAAAGTTTGTATGGGATGAGTGCTTCAACATTAATCTATAGAATCTTTTAAATTCATATGCTGTGCAAAGGTCATATTTTCTTTTCCGTTGAGGCCTTTGTTGTAATTGTCTGTGAATAAAACATAACTGAATTTTCCATCATTAAAAATTTCAACGATAGTAGCCCAAATCAGTGCTCTTTAATGTTTTTTGTTAACACCATCTATCTGAACTTTTGTATAAGGTATCTTAATTATTTCATAATTCTCCCTTCCTGTCCTTATCATAAATTCATTACGAATTATCGCACCAACTAACTTTGCCTGAAACTGAACAGAAAAGTTGTGCAAGTAATATGAAAACATTAAAAAAAAATGGTAAATGATTTATAAAGTATTCCAAATATAAATATTTCAGAAACATTTTGAGTCGTTTTCCAAAGTCATCTATACATTATGAATCGATAATATTCATATATTATACCTTATGATTGATTTTCTATAGTTATATCACCTTGTATAATGTCAAGATGATCCTCTCAATTTTGTGAAAAATAAAAAATAAAAAAGCTATAAAATTGAAAGTTCTTTGCCCAATGTCAGTTCAAATAAAAAATGCTCAATTTGATTAATAATACTAAAATAATAGATGCAAATCTGAATGACTACTTATTATCTGTGTCAAATTTAATGATTGAGTTTTTTATTCATTCGAAAATTCCAGTTCAATATATAATTTTAAAAATTTTCACATTAATTATGTAATGTCAGAAATTTTGAAAATAATCTGACATTCTACTTCTTGTCATTTATTTTTAGCCATGAAAATTGAACTATAATTCCTGTATATAACACATCCATATGTCATTATATATTGATATGGACCCTTGATGATAAGTTAAGAAAAAACGAATAAATCTGATGATAATGAAGACAAAATAACTGTTTTTTTAGCTGGCAAGTTTTTTAATAGTAACAAACGGGAGTCATTATTCATTCTCCTTTATTTTTGAGATGGGAAGATATCATTGCAGCATTATTAACTCATCAATTGGTAACTTATGTTATGGGATCATTTGAAAAAAATTTATTAGTAATGTTTAATTAATTAGATGCTTCATTTATAAAAAAGCTGTCTTGTTCACTAATGATCTTTATTTCCAATTTGGCAATTAAAGATTTTAGTTGCACAACAAGAATTTCACAATGAAAACAATCCTAGATTGATTAATTTCAACTTGTTGAAAGATAATTTATAAGTAAGTTTTAAAAAGTGTGTTTTAAAGCATAAAATTTAAATTTATTCTCCGAATTTTTTTATTTTCTCAGCCAAAGCAATAATAACGAACTACCGCAACAAACAACAGCCAATGACAGCTAAGACACAGAGAACTGCAACAAGGGCGGTCTTCTTTTTAGCTTCCTTTGTAGCAATCTTTCCTGTTGCAGAATCACTTGCGATAAGCATCTTGATAGATGTTTGATATTTTGTTTAATTTTTCAGAGGATTCGGTTGGTGTTGGACTACGATCTTGATTTCGCTGTTGTGTTTGTTTCTGTTGTTGGGATGGTGAAATCAAGTGGAAACTCTGACTAATCCTGCATCGTTAGTTGATGTGATCGTCTTCTTGACTTTTATCGTTGTAGAACAGAGAAACAGTGAACTTGTTATCGAAGTTTGTATCTGGATCATTGATGACAGCTGTGAAGTTGACCTTGTCCCTTTGTTGTATGTGCATTAAGTTTTGGTTCGAAATAGATTGTGAGAACTGTGTTATTCTGATTGGTGATTGTGAACTTCTTTGTTCCAATCTTCTTGCCATCTGTAGCTGTGACTTTGACTTCATATTCACCTGCTGCTGTGTCTTTTGAACTTTGAATTTGAATGTCTAAAGATCTTTGCTGTTTTGCAAATTCTTGTGTTGTCAACTTTCTGCATTGTTGAAGAAAACCTTTGCTGTGAGTGGTTAATCACCTGAAATCTTGATGTAGACTTGAAGCCAAGAAAGAAACTTCAGAATCTGGAATGTAATATAGGTATTCAGATGGAACAATGTATAAACTTGTGGTCATAATTTGGTGGAACAACTGTAATTGTGAATTCTTCATAAAGCAATGAGCCAAGACCATTAGTATATGTGTAACAATATAATGTGTACTTTCCAAGTTCTGTTGGTGGTGTGATTGACACATCAAAATCATACTTGTTTGTTTTTTCTGAAACTGTAAATTTGCCAAGGCTGCCATAATTTGATTATCTTCTTTTTTGAATCATGAATTTCCCAACCTGCTTCTACCTGTGTATGGTTCAACTAAGAAATAAAAACTTCCCTTTAACTTGAATTACTTCAGTGAATCTGTTTCTTCTGAAATCAGAGATTTAATCAAGTTTAAGTAATGGCGGTGATATGTCTTCTTCATAAAACATGTAAGAAAGTGTGATAGACTTTCCTGGTTGGATATACTTGTTGACCATGAGAATGAATCCATGAATTCAGGAAATCCAGAGTCGATCTAACAATTTTCTCATTGTTCGTGAAGAATCTTGGCTCAGGTTCTATTCCAAAGTCTTGGGCACTGAATATCTGTAACCCAAGGATGATTTGCAAGAACTAGTGTCAGACATTTGTTTGATCCCACCAAAGATAATAACCAAAGTTTGTAAGGCATGATGCTTTCAACATTATCTAATAGAATCTTTTAAATTCAATGCTGTGCAAAGGTCAATTTTCTTTTCCGTTGAGCCTTTGTTGGTAATTGTCTGTGAAATAATAACATAATCTGAATTTTCATCATTATAAATTTCAACGGAGTAGCCCTAATCAGTGGCTTCTTTAATGTTTTTTGTAACACCATCTATTCTGACTTTTGTTATAAGGTTCTTTAATTATTTCATAATTCTCCCTACCGTCCTTATCATAAATCATGTACGAATTATCCCCAACAACTTTGCCTAAACTGAAAGAGAAAGTTGTGCAAGTAATATGGAAAACATTTAAAAAAATGGGTAAAATGATTTATAAAATTATTCAAATATAAATATTTCAGAAAAAACATTTTGAGTCGTTTTTCAAGTCATCTATACAAATGAATCGATAATATTTCATATTATTATACCTTATGATTGATTTTCTATAGTTATAATCACCTTGTATAATGTCAAGATGATCCTCTCAATTTTTTGTGAAAAAATAAAAAATAAAAAAGCTATAAAATTGAAAGTTCTTTGCCCAATGTCAGTTCAAAATAAAAAATGCTCAATTTGAGTTTAATAACTAAAAATAATAGATGCAAATCTGAATGACTACTTATTATCTGTGTCAAATTTAATGATGAAGTTTATTTATTCATTCGAAAATTCCAGTTCAATATATAATTTTAAAATTTCACATTAATTATGTATGTCAGAAGTTTTGAAATAATCTGACATTCTACTTCTTGTCCATTTAATTTTTAGCACATGAAAATTGAACTATAATTCCTGTATATACACATCCATATGTCATTATATATTGATGGACCCTTGATGATAATGTCAAGAAAAAAACGAATAAAATCTGATGAGTAATGAGACAAAATAACTGTTTTTTTAGCTGGCAGATTTTTTATAGTAACAAACGGGAGTCATTATTCAATTCTCCTTTATTTTTGAGATGGGAAGATATCATTTGCAGCATTTATAATACTCATCAATTGGTAACTTATGTTTAGGGATCATTGAAAAAAAAAATTTATTAGTAATGTTTATTAATTAGATGCTTCATTTATAAAAAAGCTTGTCTTGTTCTATGATCTTTTATTCCAAGTTGGCAATTAAGATTTAGTTGCACAAAAAGAATTTCACATGAAAAACAATCCTAGATTGAGTAATTTCAACTTGTTGAAAGATAATTTATAAGTAATTTTAAAAAGTGTGTTTAAAGCATAAAATTTAATTTGATTCTCCGAATTTTTTTATTTTTCTCAGCCAAAAGAATAATAACGACTACCGCAACAACAACAGCAATGACAGCTAAGACAACAGAGAACTGCAACAAGGGCGGTCTTCTTTTAGCTTCCTTTGTAGCAATCTTTCCTGTTGCAAGAATCACATTGGCGATAACATCTTGATAGATGTTGATATTTGGTTATTTTTCAGAGGATTCGGTTGGTGTTGTGACTACGATCTTGAATTTCGGCTGTTGTGTTTGTTTCTGTTGTTTGGGATGGTGAAATCAAGTGGAACTCTGACTAATCCTGCATCGTTAGTTGATGTGATCGTCTTCTTGACTTTATCGTTGTAGACAGAGAAACAGTGAACTTGTTATCGAAGTTGTATCTGGATCATTGATGACAGCTGTGAAGTTGACCTTGTCGCCTTTGTGTATGTGGCATTAAGTTTTGGTTCGAAATAGATTGTGAGAACTGTGTTATTCTTGATTGTGATTGTGAACTTCTTTGTTCCAATTCTTGCCATCTGTAGTGTGACTTTGACTTCATATTCACCTGCTGCTGTGTCCTTTTGGAACTTTGAATTTTGAATGTCTTAAGATCTTTGCTGTTTTGCAACTTCTTGTGTTGCAACTTCTGCATTGTTGAAGAAAACCTTTGCTGTGAGTGGTTTATCACCTGAATCTGATCGTAGACTGAAGCCAGAAAGAATTCAGAATCTGAATGTAATATAGGTATTCAGATGGAACAATGTATTAACTTTGGTCTATAATTTGGTGGAAACAAACTGTAATTGTGAATTCTTGCATAAAAGCAATGAGCCAAGACCATTAGTATATGTGTAAACATATACATATGTAACTTTCCAAGTTTCGTTGGTGGTGTGATTGACACATCAAATCCATACCTTGTTTGTTTTTCTGAAAACTGTAAATTTGCCAAGGCTGCCATATGTTATTCTTATCTTTTGAATCATGAATTTCCCAACCTGCTTCTACGGTATGGTTCAACTAAGAAATAAACTCCCTTTATTTAATTACTTCAGTGGAATCTGTTTCTTCTGAATAAGAAGATTTATCAACTTTTAAGTAATGGCGTGATATATGTCCTCTTCATAAAACATGTAAGAAAGTGGATAGACTTTCCTGGTTGGAGATATACTTGTTGAGCCATGAAGAATGAGATCCATTGAATTCAGGAAATCCAGAGTCGTATTCTAAAATTTTCTCATTGTTCGTGAAGAATCTTGGCTCAGGTTCTATTCCAAAGTCTTGGGCACTGATATCTGTAACCCAAGGATGATTTTGCAGAACTAGTGTCAGATCATTTGTTTTGATCCCACCAAAGATAATAACCAAGTTTGTAAGGGATGATGCTTCAAACATTATCTATAGAATCTTTTAAATTCAATGCTGTGCAAAGTCAATTTCTTTTCCGTTGAGCTTTGTTGTAATTGGTCTGTGAAATAATAACATAATCTGAATTTTCATCATTAATAAATTTCAACGGAGTAGCCTAAATCAGTGGCTTCTTTAATGTTTTTGTAAACACCATCTATTCTGTACTTTTGTAATAAGGTTCTTTTAATTATTTCATAATTCTCCCTTCCGTCCTTATCAATAATCATGTACGAATTATCCCCAACAACTTTGCCTGAAACTGAAAGAGAAAGTTTGTGCAAGTAATATAGGAAAACATTTAAAAAAGGTAAAATGATTTTATAAAAGTATTCAAATATAAATAATTTCAGAACCATTTTGAGTCGTTTTTCAAAGTCATCTATACATATGAATCGATAATATTTCATATTATTATACCTTATGATTGATTTTCTATAGTTATAATCACCTTGTATAATGTCAATAATGATCCTCTCAATTTTTTGTGAAAAAATAAAAAAAATAAAAAAGCTATAAAATTGAAAGTTACTTTGCCCAATGTCAGTTCAAATAAAAATGCTCAATTTGATTTAATAACTAAAAAATAATAGATGCAAATCTGAATGACTACTTATTATCTGTGTCAAATTTAATGATTGAGTTTATTTATTCATTCGAAAATTCCAGTTCAATATATAATTTAAAAAAAATTTCACATTAATTATGTATGTCAGAAATTTGAAATAATCTGACATTCTACTTCTTGTCATTTATTTTTAGCCATGAAAATTGAACTATAATTCCTGTATATACACATCCATATGTCATTATATATTGATGGACCCTTGATGATAATTGTCAAGAAAAACGAATAAATCTGAATGAGTAATGAGACAAAATAACTGTTTTTTTAGCTGGCAGATTTTTTATAGTAACAAAGGGGAGTCCATATTCATTCTCCTTTATTTTTGAATGGGAAGATATCATTGCAGCATTATATACTCATCAATTGGTAACTTATGTTATGGGATCATTTGAAAAAAAATTTATTAGTAATGTTATTAATTAAGATGCTTCATCTTATAAAAAGCTTGTCTTGTTTCTATGATCTTTATTCAAGTTGGCAATTAAAGATTTAGTTGCACAACAAGAATTTCACATGAAAAACATCCTAGATTGAGTAATTTCAAACTTGTTGAAAGATAATTTATAAGTAATTTTAAAAAGTTGTGTTTAAAGATAAAATTTAATTTATTCTCCGAATTTTTTTATTTCTCAGCCAAAAGAATAATAACGACTTACCGCAACAACAACAGCAATGACAGCTAAGACACAGAGAACTGCAACAAGGGCGGTCTTCTTTTTAGCTTCCTTTGTAGCAATCTTTCCTGTTGCAGAATCACTTGCGATAACATCTTGATAGATGTTGATATTTGTTAATTTTTCAGAGGATTCGGTTGGTGTTTGATACCGATCTTGATTTTCGGCTGTTGTGTTTGTTTCTTGTTTGTGGGCATGGTAAAATCAAAGTGGAACTCTGACTAATCCTGCATCGTTAGTTGATGTGATCGTCTTCTTGACTTTATCGTTGTAGAACAGAGAAACAGTGAACTTGTTATCGAAGTTTGTATCTGCGATCATGTGATGACACGCTGTGAAGTTGACCTTGTCGCCTTTGTTGTTATGTGGCATTAAGTTTTGGTTCGAGAATAGATTGGAGAACTGTGTTATTCCTTGATTGTGATTGTGAACTTCTTTGTTCCAATCTTCTTGCCATCTGTAGCTGTGACTTTGACTTCATATTCACCTGCTGCTGTGTCTTTTGGAACTTTTGAATTTGAATGTCTTAAGATCTTTGCTGTTTGCAACTTCTTGTGTTGCAACTTCTGCATTGTTGAAGAAACCTTTGCTGTGAGTGGTTTATCACCTGAATCTTGATCGTAGACTGAAGCCAAGAAAGAAACTTCAGAATCTGGAATGTAATATAGGTATTCAGATGGAAAAATGTATAACTTTTGGTCTATAATTTTGGTGGAACAACTGTAATTGTGAATTCTTCATAAAAGCATGAAGCCAAGACCATTAGTATATAGTTGTAAACATTATATGTGTAACTTTCCAAGTTCTGTTGGTGGTGTGATTGACACATCAAAATCCATACTTGTTTGTTTTTCTGAAACTGTAAATTTTGCCAAGGCTGCCATATTTGATTATCTTATCTTTTGAATCATGAATTTCCCAACCTGCTTCTACCGTGTATGGTTCAACTAAAATGAAAAAACTTCCCTTTACTTGAAATTACTTCAGTGGAATCTGTTTCTTCTGAAATCAGAGATTTATCAACGTTTAAGTAATGGCGGTTGATATGTCTCTTCATAAACATGTAAGAAGTGTGGATAGACTTCCTGGTTGGATATACTTGTTGAGACCATGAAGAATGAGATCCATTGAATTTCAGGAAATCCAGAGTCGTATTCTAAAATTTCTCATTGTTCGTGAAGATCTTGGCTCAGGTTCTATTCCAAAGTCTTGGGCACTGATATCTGTAAACCCAAGGATGATTTGCAGAACTAGTGTCAGATCATTTGTTTGATCCCACCAAAGATAATAACCAAAGTTTGTAAGGGATGATGCTTCAACATTATCTATAGAATCTTTTAAATTCAATGCTGTGCAAAGGTCAATTTTCTTTTCCGTTGAGCCTTTGTTGGTAATTGTCCTGTGAAATAATAAATAATCTAATTTTTCATCATTATAAATTTCAACGGAGTAGCCTAAATCAGTGGCTTCTTTAATGTTTTGTGTAACACCATCTATTCTGACTTTTGGTATAAAGGTTCTTTAATTATTTCATAATTCTCCCTTCCGTCCATTATCATAAATCATGTACGAATATTCCCCAACAACTTTGCCTGAAACTGAAAGAGAAAGTTTGTGCAAGTAATATGGAAAACATTTAAAAAAATGGTAAAATGATTTTTAAAAAAATATTTCAAATATAAATATTTCAGAAAACGAATTTTTGAGTCGTTTTTCAGAAAGTCATCTATACATATGAAGATCGATAATTTTTTCATATTAATTATACCTTAATGAAATTGATTTTCTGATAGTTATAATCACCTGTATAACATGTCAAGAATGATCCCTCAATTTTTTGTGAAAAATAAAAAAATAAAAAAGCTATAAAATTGAAAGTTCTTGCCCAATGTCAGTTCCAATAAAAAAATCTCAATTTGATTAATACTAAAAATAATAGATGCAAATCTGAATACTTACTTATTATTGTGTCAAATTTTAATGATTGAGTTAATTTATTCATTCGAAAATTCCAGTTCATATATATTTTAAAAATTCACATTAATTATGTATGTCAGAAACTTTTGAATAATCGACATCTACTTACTTGTCATTTATTTTTTAGCCATTGAATAATGAACTTACATTCCGTGTATATACACATCATATGTCATTATATATTTGATGTGACCCTCTGAATGATAATTGCAAAAAAAACGAATAAATCTGATGAGTAATGAGACAAAATAACTGTTTTTTTTAGCTGGCAGATTTTATAGTAACAAACGGGAGTCATTATTCCCATTCTCCTTTATTTTTGAGATGGGAAGATATCATATGCAGCATTATAATACTCATCAATTGGTAACTTATGTTTATGGTATCATTCGAAAAAAAATTTATTAGTAATGTTTATAATTAATGCTTCATTTATAAAAAAGCTGTGTCTTGTTCTATGACTCTTTATTCCAAGTTGCAATTAAATTTAGTTGCACAAACAGAATTTAACATGAAAAACATCCTAGATTGAGTAATTTTCAACTTGTTGAAAGATAATTTATAAGTAATTTTTAAAAAGTGTGTTTAAAGCATAAAATTTAATTTATTCTCCCGAATTTTGTTTATTTTCTCAGCCAAAGAATAATAACGACTACCGCAACAACAACAGCAATGACAGCTAAGACACAAGAGAACTGCAAACAAGGGCGGTCTTCTTTTAGCTTCCTTTGTAGCAATCTTTCCTGTTTGCAGAGAATCACTTGCGATAACATCTTGATAGATGTTGAATATTGTAATTTTTCAAGAGGATTCGGTTGGTGTTGTGACTACGATCTTGATTTCGGTGTTTTTGCTTTTGTTTCTGTTGTTGGGATGTGTGAAATCAAGTGGAAACTCTGACTAATCCTGCATCGTTAGTTGATGTATCGGTCTTCTGACTTTATCGTTGTAGAAACAGAGAAACAGTGATACTTGTTATCGAAGTTTGTATCTGGATCATTGATGACAGCTGTAAGTTGACCTTGTCGCCTTTGTTGTATTTGGCATTAAGTTTTGGTTCGAAATAGATTGTGAGAACTGTGTTATTCTTGATTGTGATTGTGAACTTCTTTGTTCAATCTTCTGCCATCTGTAGCTGTGACTTTGACTTCATATTCCACCTGCTGCTTGTTCTTTTGGAACTTTGAATTTGAAATGTCTTAAGATCTTTGCTTGTTGCAACTTCTTGTGTTGCAACTTCTGCATTGTTGAAGAAAACCTGTTGCTGTGAGTGGGTTTAATCACCTGAATCTTGATCGTAGACTGAGCCAAGAAGAGAAACTTCAGAATCTGGAAGTAATATAGGTATTCAGATGGAAACAATGTAAAACTTTGGTCTATAATTGGTGGAACAACTGTAATTGTGAATTCTTTCATAAAGCAATGAGCCAAGAGACCATTAGTATATGTGTAAACAATATAATGTGTAACTTTCAAGTTCTGTTGGTGGTGTGATTGACAGCATCAAAATCCATACTTTGTTTGTTTTTTCTGAAACTGTAAATTTGCCAAGGCTGCATATTTGATTATCTTATCTTTTGAATCATGAATTTCCCAACCTGCTTCTACCGTGTATGGTTCAAACTAAGAAATAAAACTTCCCTTTACTTGAATTTCTTCAGTGGAATCTGTTTCTTCTGAAATCAGAGATTTATCAAGTTTAAGTAATGGCGGTTGATATTCTCATTCATAAAACATGTAAGAAAATGTGATAGACTTTCTGGTTGGATATACTTGTTGAGCCATGAGAATGAGATCCATTGAATTTCAGGATCCAGAGTCCGTATTCTAAAATTTTCTCATTGTTCGTGAAGAATCTTGGCTCAGGTTCTATCAAAGTCTTGGGCACTGATATCTGTAACCCAAGGATGATTTTGCAGACTAGTGTCAGATCATTTGTTTGATCCCACCAAGATAATAACCAAAGTTTGTAAGGGATGATGCTTCAACATTATCTAAGAATCTTTTAAATCAATAATGCTGTGCAAAGGTCAATTTTCTTTTCCGTTGAGCCTTGTTGGTAATTTGTCTGTGAAATAATAACATAATCTGAATTTTCATCATTATAATTTCAACGGAGTAAGCCTAAATCAGTGGCTTCTTTAATGTTTTTTGTAACACCATCTATTCTGACTTTTGTATATAGGTTCTTTAATTATTTCATAATTCTCCCTTCCGTCCTTATCATAAATCATGTACGAATTATCCCCAACAACTTTGCCTGAAAACTGAAAGAGAAAGTTGTGCAATAATATGGAAAACATTTAAAAAATGGTAAAATGATTTTATAAAAGTATTCAAATATAAAATATTTCAGAAACATTTTTGAGTCGTTTTTCAAAGTCATCTATACATATGAAATCGATAATATTTCATATTATTATACCTTATGATTGATTTTCTATAGTTATAATCACCTTGTATAATGTCAAGATGATCCTCTCAATTTTTTGTGAAAAAAATAAAAAATAAAAAAGCTATAAAATTGAAAGTTCTCTTTGCCAATGTCAGTTCAAATAAAAAATGTCGAATTTGATTAAATAACTAAAAATAAAGATGCAAATCTGAATGACTACTTATTATCTGTGTCAAATTTAATGATTGAGTTTATTTTATTCATTCGAAAATTCCAGTTCAATATATAATTTTAAAAAATTTCACATTAATTATGTATGTCAGAAATTTTTGAAATAATCTGACATTCTACTTCTTGTCATTTATTTTTAGCCATGAAAATTGAACTATAATTCCTGTATATCACATCCATAGTCATTATATATTTGATGGACCCTTGATGATAATGTAAGAAAAAACGAATAAATCTGAATGATAATGAGACAAAATAAATGTTTTTTTAGCTGGCAAATTTTAATAGTAACAAACGGGAGTCATTATTCATTCTCCTTTATTTTTGAGATGGGAAGATATCATTGCAGCATTATATACTTCATCAATTGGTAACTTATGTTATGGGATCATTTGAAAAAAAATTTATTAGTAAATGTTTTATTAATTAGATGCTTCATTATAAAAAAGCTTGTCTGTTCTATATCTTTATTCCAAGTTGGCAATTAAGATTTAGTTGCACAACAAGTTTCACATGAAAAACAATCCTAGATTGAGTAATTTCAACTTGTTGAAAAGATAATTTATAAGTAATTTTAAAAAGTGTGTTTAAAGCAATAAATTTAATTTATTCTCCGAATTTTTTTATTTTCTCAGCCAAAGAATAATAACGACTACCGCAACAACAACAGCAATGACAGCTAAAGACACAGAGAACTGCAACAAGGGCGGTCTTCTTTTTAGCTTCCTTTGTAGCAATCTTTCCTGTTGCAGAATCACTTGCGATAACATCTTGATAGATGTTGATATTTGTTAATTTTTCAGAGGATTCGGTTGGTGTTGTGACTACGATCTTGATTTCGGCTGTTGTGTTTGTTTCTGTTGTTGGGATGGTGAAATCAAGTGGAACTCTGACTAATCCTGCATCGTTAGTTGATGTGACGTCTTCTTGACTTTATCGTTGTAGAACAGAGAAACAGTGAACTTGTTATCGAAGTTTGTATCTGGATCATTGATGACAGCTGTGAAGTTGACCTTGTCGCCTTTGTTGTTA